TTCTACAAATTGTAAATATTAGTATATAAATTAACTAATATTATATTAGTATTTTTGGGAAACTTGTTTTTAAATTAAGGGATTAATTTGTTTTAATTCCTTTTAATACCTAAATTAAGCTTTAATCTAAATTATACTTTTGCTATATTCCTTAAGCTTATTTTGAAAATATAATATTTATCCTTTAACTTAATTATTCCTGTAATATTTGTAACTTTTAGTTAAGCTTTAAAGTTATTTAAATATTTTTTAGTTAACTTTTAGTTTTTACCTATAAATATTAGTTATTTAAGTAATATTAATATCCTATTAGTTTATTAATATAATAATAAGGTTATATTATTACTTTAAAATTAGGTTTTTATATTATAGCTTATTTTAAAGTTAAGTTCTAAATATACTAAAATACTTATAATATTTAACGTTTAAATATTTTACCTAAATAGTATAGGTAGAATAATACCTACTTAAAGTAATATATTTAATAAAATTAAGGGGATTATATTACTCTTTATATTTAGGTTAATATTTAAATTTACTATTATATTTGTACTTATCAATATACGAATATATTTCCGGGAAAACGTTAGTAAAATAATACCTTTTTATAAAGGGTAGGTTAGGTATTAATAAGTACCAATTATAAATTATTTTAATTACTTTATTAAATCTTTAATTAAATATTAGTATCCCCTAATTATAAATCTCCGTAATTATATTATTACGTTATTAAATATACTTTATTTATTTTTTTCTATTACTTTAAACTTTTATTTTCCCTATAAAAAACTATTAAATAGGGTTAAAAGAAAGATTTACTACGTTAAAATATTATAGCCTAAAGTTTAATTAATATTTTAAATATTACGTATTAGCCCGATATTTATAATATTGTTATTATTAAATAATAATATCAATATAAATAAGTTTTTAATTAAATAGTAAATATTTTAATTAAAGAATTACTTACTAGGGTTACAATATAAGGTAATAGATATAAAAAGAGAAAGTTTGGAAAATTAATTAATAGGGTAATTAATATACAAGATATTTGTAGATTTATAAAGTAAATTACTTTTATAGCAGAAATTTAAATAATATATAATAGGAAAGTTAGTATTATATTAAGAAAATAAGTTTTTAATAAAAAACTAAGAAAATAGGTTTTATAATTATTATAAATAAAAATAACTTAACTTAATATTAAGAAAAATAAGGTAATTAAAAATGTTTTTGGAATATAGGTAATATATATTAAAATACTTGTTTTTTTTTTACTAATATAAGCGATTATATTTTTTTATATTTAGGCTAAATTACACGGAATGTTAAATAGTTAATATACTTTTCCTTTATAGTTTAATTTAATTAAAAACTTAGGGAAATAGTAAATAGTAAAATATCATTTTTTTTAAATTTGCTTAGGGGAAAAGTAGGTATATTTTGAATATAGTTACCTATAGGGCGGTTTTTAGTACTTTTAAATTTTTAAAAGTTTAAAACTAGTACTTTAAACCCCCCTTTTTATTTATTTAGCTTTTATTTAATATTAATTTAATTTAGGTTAAGTTTAATTAGGTACCTTTTATTATTTAATTCCTTTTTTAAATACTTTAGCCTTAAGCTTACCTTATTAAATAAGGTAATTAAAAAAATTACCTTCTGCTAAATTCTACTAAGTTTTTACTTTTTACTTTAAAAAATAACATAAGGGTCTTCGATTATTAAAAGGTTCAATAGTTACTAAAATAGGTTAGAGATTATATTAAATATTAACTAATTTAAATTAACTAAAAGCTTACTTTATCATATTGTACTTTATTCCTAAGGGTTTGAAAATATAAATAAGTTATATAAATAATATATTAACTTAAAACTAGTATCCCATCGTTTACGAAATTAATTATAGGGCTATTACTATTTTTAGGTTTTTGGATCTAAGTTATTTCGGAGTTATAAAGGTTAATTCGGCTATTTTAACTAAGAAATATAAAATAATAAAATACGACGCTAAAAGTAATTGTAAAAATTGTTTATAGAATTGGAACTTGTTTTTTACGTTTACGGTATATTTACCAAAAATGAAGCTAGTACTAAAATAGGTGGTAAGAAGTGGTCTAGTCTATTCTCTGTGGGCAGACGCCCTGGGTGGGGTTATATACTACAAGAAGCCCCTCATCTTTCACGTGCCTTTGCGGTGGGGCTTTCATGTACTATGGATCTGAAAGCAGCCTCACAGTAAAGTTTCCAGAATGCGGTAGAGTACTCTACTGTCAAATGTAGTGTATGTGATCGACATTGAAAAGTCTAGATCAGCCCTGGCCCCCTGACCGCTAGGGACGGGCCAGCGTCGTATTTGATCAACACCTTGCGTGTACCCCGCCGTATAATATTGGTCCCCTCCCCCATCCGACGACCACTTATACATTCTGGATGGTCGATGCGTGCTAGGTTGGTTGGTTGGTGGATGCGCTGCGGTTACCGGGTTGGGAATGCATATCGAGTTATATAGCATGGCTATGATAGTCTACAGGCCATATAAGGTTGGTTGTACGGCTGTGCCGGGCATAAGGTAGGTATAGGTATAGGTATAGATATGGAACTGGACTTTTTGTATACGCGGAGAACCGGGGGGAGGGGGGATATACCCCGGATATGCTTGATCCTATCCAGGTCCCCTAGTCAGTCGCGGTAAAATGGTACCTGCGGGATACGGTACCGAGTAATAAGGATTGTAGCCTAGCATGCCGTGTTCCCATACACGTACTTGTAGTGTCGTTAAAAAAAACCTACGCGTTCCGGCTGGACTTGGGCTCTCTCTCTTCTCTCTGTCTCTCTGTCCCTAACTTTCCTTGCGTTCTGTGTCTCCCTCCAAACAAGCCCCAAGGGTCGTCGGCGTATGACATCCCACACGCATGGAAAGATGGGACTCCCACGGATCCTCCTCCTCGGAATCCTCGCGCTCTCCAGCACCGTCATCGCAGCTTCGAAACCTGGAGACCGGTCCTTCGACTACGTAATAGTCGGCGGCGGCACGGCCGGGACCGCGCTCGCAGCGCGCCTGAGCCAGGGCCTGCCCAAGGCATCCGTCCTCCTCGTCGAGGCCGGCCCAGCGGCGCCAGACGAGCTAGGCATTCTAGTCCCCGGGCGCAAGGGGAGCACGCTGGGGACGCGGTACGACTGGAACTTCACGACGATCCCGCAGATGCATCTGCGCGGGCGCACTGTCGGGGTGAACCGCGGCCGGGTGCTGGGCGGGTCGTCGGCGCTCAACCTGCTCTGCTGGGACCGGGCGGCGGCGGCCGAGTACGACGCGTGGGCGGAGGTTGGGAATCCGGGGTGGGACTGGAGGGCGATGGAGGCGGCCATGACGCGGGCGGAGAACTACACAGGCGGTCCGGCTGGGTCGGGGAGAAAAGGGCCGGTGCATGCGGTTATCAACCGGGTCATACCGGCGCATCAGCAGGGTTGGATTCCTGCCGTGGAGAAGTTTGGGATACCGGCCAACAATGATTCCCTCGAGGGAAGGCCGATCGGGGTGTCCTACCAGCCGAGCAGCATCGATCCGACCAGATATGTCCGGAGCTACAGCGCCAATGCGTATCTGCCGATTGCCGGGCCCAACCTGGTGGTGCTGACTGACACGCAGGTGTTCAAGGTCAACTTCAAAGGGACTGGGACTAAGAAGCAGAATGCCATCGGTATTACGCTCGCTAACGGGACCGTCATCCGTGCAGCTCGAGAAGTCATCCTCTCGGCCGGCGCAGTCCAGACCCCAAACCTGCTCGAGCTCTCAGGCATTGGTCAGGGAGCGGTCCTCGCCGCGGCAAACATCACACAGCTCATTGAGCTCCCAGGCGTCGGCGAGAACTACCAGGACCACCTGCGCGTGCAGGTGTCATACCAGCTACGGGACAACTACACTTCGTTCGACGTGCTGCGGTCCAACGCTACCGTGGCCAGCATCGAGTTGGACAAGTGGCTCGCGGGCAAGGTCTCGCTGTATGATTACACCGGCAGCGGCTTCCTTTTCGCGAACTGGGAGCAGGTTGTTGGCGGTGCCAACGCGTCTGCGATGGCGGCGCTCGCGCGTGCCGCCGTGGGGAATTCATCGGATGTGGGCCAGAGGAAGAAGCTCGAGCAGCTGGCTGACGCGACGGTTCCGCAGGTCGAGGTCATCTTCTCGGATGGGTACACCGGGGTAAAGGGCTATCCGGCGGTCGGGACGGCGCTGTATGGCAAGAGCTTCTTTACGCTGATCGCGGGGCTGATGCATCCCCTGAGCCGGGGGAACGTACACCTCAACGTCTCGAATCCGTTGGGAAAGCCGGTAATCGATCCACGGTTTCTAGACAATGAGTACGACATCCAAGCCATGATGGCCATGGCAAAATTCAGCAGACAGGTGGCTCTGAGCGAGCCGTTGCGGTCAGTATGGACGGCTGAGTACGAACCTGGGTTGCATATCGTCCAGACTGACGAGCAATGGCGAGATTATGTGCTCAACACGACGCTGAGTGTTTTCCATCCCGTTGGGACTGCAGCCATGCTGCCTCGAGCGGATGGTGGTGTTGTAGACTCGGAGCTGGTGGTCTACGGGACGACGAACGTGAGGGTCGTTGACGCCAGCGTGATTCCGGTTCAAATATCGGCGCATATCCAGACGGCCGTCTATGGTATAGCAGAAAGGGCAGCCGAGATTATCATGGCGAAACAGAGGTGATGGTCTGTCGGGGAAACTGCTGTCTGGGCCAGCCGGTCGACCTGGCTGGGATACTCTACAGCTCGTGTTAGCCAAGTTCCTCGAGAAAGTCAAGACCATCCATTGCAAATGCCACAGTCTTCGACGCACACTGTTCCCCCGAGCCATGCCGTGACTCATAGAGCAGGTCTGTGAGCTTGCCCCTTTCCCCCTCGGTGACTCAGGGGCTGAGCCACACCTCATCACATCTGGCCATATATCCGAGAACACAAGTAGAGCAAGACAAGAAGAAAACGAAAGCTATGTAGCATAGTGGAAATGCGACGGGCTCATAAGACCGTGGTCATGATGATTCCCGGAGATCGTTGGATCGAAACCAACCATAGCTATCTTTTTGCTCGACGCCGTCTTTTTGGCCCCCAAACTTGTCTTTCCTCGAATGTTGACGGGAGAGGACGATATTTCTGGTCACCAGGACCAGTATCTATGCTTCAACTCGGCTAGGAAACAGTTGTTAGAAGCTAGGACTGCTTGAACTGAGTGTTTACTTACGCTTGGCCTCTCCCCAACCGTGCTTGTTGCCCTGGATTGTATGACTGGCTGGGTGAGTTCTGCGGTGCTGTATGGGACAAGTAGATAGCTGAAACTACTCTTCTTTGAACAGTGATCTTCTGTCCACGACAAGGAACCTAGGAGAGTGACGAATAGATCCATCATATTTTTTTGTTGTTTCCTGGGTCCGATATGTCGTTGTTTGATGCTGTGGAGTCCGCTATCCCGTCTGAAGATGCCAGTTAACGGCCACCAAAATACAGTGGACTGTGCCTGGAGTTGCGGCTCAAAACACTGGCGCGGCGCCTGAACCCTTGGACGCAGTGGCGCAATCACGCGCTAACGGTATCAGTCTTGGGGCTGCAACCCCCCGAACGTGCGGGGGTCTTTGGGTGGGGTTGAATTTCTTGACAGGCCTTCGGTTGGCTCGCGGTGGAGGCGAGGACGGCGATCAAAGACATCGATAACCGGGCAACCACAAAGCTTTCGCTGCTCCTCCTCCACTTGTCGCAACCCCTCTCTTGCTTCTAGGTTCTGTGCAATCGTCGCGGGTCATGTCGCGTGTCCGGACGCGTCCAGACTGTGAGAGGTGACGCCGTGTGTCTTCGACTCGTGGATCGAGACCTGCATAGGTGCAGCAGCTGGCAGCTGGGAAATTGGTCCAAGGCGTTGCACAGCGCGCGACACGACGCGAGCCCGGCTTTGTTGCGAAGGCTCCAGGCGCACACCGCGACCAACCCAGAAGAAGGTGTCAACACCTCAATTGACCGGAGAGGCGGCAAGAATCATCATCAGAACGGCAGAATACGCGCGAGACGACACGGGTGTTGTCTAACTACCCCTCATCGCTTCCGAGGGGACTCGTTAAGGTACGACAGGATCTGAGCTTCGACGCTGGCGGCAGCAACATCGACGACAACAGAACTGGAAATCCCAGAGCCAGACTGGTGCAATTGCCGGAGGAGCTGGCAGTTCTCATCCGACTTAAACTTTGCGGCTGGGAAAATCTGCACCAGATCCACTCCCGTTGCTGGAGGAGTCTGATATTGCCATCTCATCCCGGCTTGGAAGCCTCGAGCTCGACGGCTCACCCCTGCCGCTCTCAACTCTCCCGCCACCTCGCGAGACATCACAGAAACAAAGTCGGCATCGTTAGAAATCAATATTCATCATGGCCTCTCTCCAGGCTCTGGCAAAGTTTGCTGTCTTCGCCGACACCTTCCTCTCTGGTCTGGTAAGCAACTCTCGACTGTTCATGACACTTCTCCACCTCAAGTTGGCCGGAACTAAACCTGACTGTACAGATCATACCTCTAATTCCCTCTATCCTCGAGACACGGTCCAAAGTCCCACAGGAGCAAAGTGAGTAACCCATACGACGTCTCTGAAACATCTTCTGACACCGTATAGCTCAAATTCTAGTCTCCGTCCTGGTTTCGGCATATGGCGCAGCTCTCGTAGCGGTTTCCCGTGAGTAAAATGAGCTGTTAAGGGCAAAACTGTGGCTAACTTGCATCTCAGCGTTGATGCCTTTCGTGGCTCGCCAGGGGAGATCACGCTTCGTTGTCCTCCTCGGGGCTCTGGCCTTGGCCGCTGCCTCTTTTATCCTCTTGCAGATCTACTCATCATTGCCAATCCTGGCCCTCGCCAGGGCGCTTCACGGGCTGTCGGCTGCTGCTCTCACAGGTTTCTCATCTGGGATCGCAGCCAACATCGGTCCAGAGGCCGTCTCGCCGTCATGGGTTACGCTCCCAGTCATCCACAGCGTCGCGTTCTCGCTGGCTCCTGTGCTTTCTGGATATCTGTATGACTATGTCGATGGCGAAAGGGCTGTTTTCTTCTGCGCCTATGCCACCATCCTTCTAACTGGCCTACTTGGTCTCGTGGCCTTTGTCTTTGCTCCAGAGATGGAAGTCCAGACCGGCCAGGTCAGTTATGCACCAGTCGAGCATGTGGCCTCAACCTACGGCACAATGTCACTACGGGGTGGCCAGCTCCGCAGCGGCTACTCGTCCGTCTCGAGCTCAAGAACAGCGTCCACCACGTCTCGACGATCCCGGCGGAGCAGTGTTTCCTCGGTATTCTCAGCTGCCGAGGATAACGCACCCGTGTTCGGCATCCGCATGTTCACCGCCCTTTATGGTTATCTCGCCGTTGGGTTACTCACAGCCGCCCTTCAGAGCATCATCCCTCTCCTCGCGGAACGGCAGCTCAAGTGGCCCATGTTCTCTGTCGGTCTCGCTTTCCTACCCATGGCGTTCCCGGCACTGCTCACCGGAGCTCTGTCAAAGACTCTTGTCTTCAGGCTCCCACAGTCTGCCCGCTTCACGGTTGGGCTAGGTTTCCTCCTGGGTCTTCCCGCGTTTGGCTACCTCGGGCACCTGCGAGAGGACAAGTCTACGGAGCAGATGGTGCTGTTTGGTATCCTCGCCGCCATCTCCGCTGGCATTGGTCTCAGCGCCGATCCCCTGGTGAAGGAGATCACGCGGCTGATGAGCGAGGTGGATGGGACATCACAAGCTTTCCACCACTGGAGTGCGACCGCGACGCTTCCGACGGTGACTTACGCCTGGGGCACTCTGATTGGGCCGCTTTTTGCTGGCTTCACCCACAAGCTCTCGGGCTGGCACACCATGGCCAAGTCCCTGGCTGGTCTGAGCGCTTTCAGTGCTGTGTTTACCTTCATCTTCCTTCAGGGGTGGATCGGGAACCCGCGACCTTTTGGTCCCGACCGGACTGAGGCTGGCAATGACGAAGAATCGGCCCCTCTGCTCCGGTCTAACCAGAATAGCGCTTCTCGCGCAACACCCATCGGCGGCGACCGATCGCGAAGCCTCCGCAAGTCTGACTTGGTCGAGAGCGCGGTAACGGATAGCTCCGATGTCGATCTCGGGTCGAGCATCCGGACCGACCAGCCCGGCCGACACCGCCGACATTTCAGCATTGACAACTTCTCCATCGCCACCACGGCGGTCGACGGCAGAGCCGGGACGCTGACGGACGCAGACGGCCAGCAGGCTCGCTTCCAGGCCGCACTGGAGACCCCTGCGGCGATGGGCAGCTCGTTCAAGCAGCAGCTCGGCAACCCCGAGCGCCGGTTCGTCATGCGGGAGGCGCCGCACGCTCCGACGACAGACCCGCTCCTCGCGTCGGGTAACCGCTACGTTATCGACGAGGCGGGAGCCGATGGCGAGCACCGGGTCAAGCGCCACGTCGTCGTCTTTGAGGAGGGCACCGTTCCGCCCGAGCTGCTCGAGCGCCGCCAGCACCACGTCGTTGCTATCAACAACGTCGACGGGTCGGTTAGGTTGGCGTCGAGCATGGATAATCATGCGGTGCATGTCACGGAGGAGGACGCGCCGGACAAGTTTGAGCTGCCCGAGTCGTCGAGGCGGTATGTGGTTGTTTTGCTGGAAAAGGGGGATATCGGGGAGGAGGAGCACGAGTCGAGGTGAGGGTTAGGAGGTTTTGCGTGAATGTTTAATACCCAGAACGAAAAGGAGGTGGTGTAAAATGGATGGTGGGACGACGGTGGATGGGTGGATGGGTGGAAATTTGCTATGGGTTGTATGTAATTTGATGTTATCAGCGGTATGCAAGTATCTTTGGGAACCTGGTGTTCGAGTATCCCTGGGAGCTGTTGTGTAGCTGTGGAATATTGCTGTCATGTTTAAGATACGTATATGTCAAGCATGCGATGAATCCCGCATACCACCAGGTTTATAAGTTGAAGATCACCTCAGACACCCTTGTTTACATCCCCATGTGCCTACGGATACCTACCTAGCTTGGTAGATATCTTCCTTTTCATCCACCAAAAAATATCGATATATGTATATTTTCTGAAAGCCAACCCTGCGTCTACCAGACTAGGTACCGGTTATATACGTGTAGGGATTCACAATGGCAAAGTGGGGGGGGGGGGAGGGGGGGGACGGGCGCCTCTCAGATCAACGTCGATAAAAACGACGCAGGAAATACCTACCTGCCTGGTAAATAGTGTAGAAAACTAAGCGCTCTGCAGGGAATCTTATGTGTGTATTGAGGTGAGAACTGGCCCAGCGAGAGCCGGGCCAAGTCATCTATCTATCTGTTCTGTTAGCCTGGTTTGGTTGGCTCTGAATAGCTTCATCCGTTTAACTCAGTTATCTGCAAGTAGACAAAGAAATCTGAAGTGGCGATATCAGTCTGGCGCGCACCAGCAGCACTGGCGACCGCTACCCGTGGGGGTGCCCATCAGGGTGTCTGAATCGCTACACATAGTAGTACTATGGTAGTAGTGGTGGTGTATGTACGGAATATGAGATAGACTCATTCATTCACATTTCACACGGCATGCAGTTGGGTTGAACCCCATGCATATAGGTATGCATGAGAACGATTCAAAAAAAGGACTCGGAAAAAACGGTTCAAAATAAAAAGAAAGGGGGTATCAACATATTTGTATATCTGCGCATCTTCTGTCCTTCATTCCATTCCTCCCCCTCCCTTCCTTCCTCTCCCTGACCAAAACATGACACACAAGTCAGTCCTCAAGTCTTCTCCAGTCCTCTCAAGTCTTGAAGTCCTCAAGTCCTCCCCACACCCTTCCCGCAAGCTCCTCAAAAAAGAGGAGCCTTTCGTTGACTTTGCTTGCTTGTTCATCATCATCTCTCCTCGCATCATCTCCATCTCTCATCCATCCGTCCAGTCCCAAAGGCTACTACGTACGTGGTATCACATTCCCAATCCCCGCTCGCTCGCTCGCTCATGCCCATACAACCCAGCTCTACCGCTTCCTCGCCATCCGCTGTCCACCGCTATTAACGGTTAACCACCCCCTCCTCCTCCCCCACCC